CTAGGAATCTAATGTTCCCAAAAAAAAAATTACAATGCTTATATCAAAGATGAATAAATAAAATTATAGGGTTATCATCTTTTGGTTTCACTTTCTTTCAGTATCTTGAATTCATGACGATATAATAATAACAAGACGTATTGAATAAGTTTCTGTTAGTATCTTTTTTGACATCATCTAAAGCTATTTTGGGGCTAAGCACACAAATGAATGGAAAATAACAAGTTATGTGAAGTTAATCTGCGGGTAAAGCATGGACTCATTAAAATATTAATTTAATTAACAGAGTAATAAATGCTGACAAATATTTGAAAAAATTACTGTACAAATTTAAATGTTTTTACAATTTTTTTTATAAAGATTGAATACCTATAAATTCATACCAAAATTTCAAATTTCTTACAATCTATAACGCTTAACGCATAAAACTATTATATATGCATTTTGAGCTGAGTACCTAATACACAGTTTTCTGTTAATAATTCGCAACTTATAAAGTATTTACAGTTACAATTATAATTTTATCTAAATTTAATTGACTGATCTCTTAAATTATTTTTAAAATCTAAACAAAAGTATATATGTATACGTATGATAACGCCAATAATTATTTAAGAAGTATCCTTAATATATTATGACAGCTGTGGCATGAGGGAGATATGAAAAAAGAGAGAGCTTTTGGCTTTTAATAAGAAAGCTACATAACTAGTAGCGGTCCATAGATTGCATTAGTTTCGCAGAATTAGCATTAGATGTGACATATATGTATAGGGTCCTGTATTTAAGAAACTATGGGACATTTCCTTCATTACCCTATAATCACTTAACAATGATTTTTTTTTCTTTTTCAATTATTTTTCAATGAATTAGTTATTTCATAAATTATAGTATCAAGAGAATATTAGAAATGATTCAAAACTAAAAAAAAATACTAGAAGAAACAACAAGGTACAATTTGTCAGTATAAAAGTGAAACTCAATGTATTACACTATCGTACAGTAAGAAGGTGCATCCATGTCTCTGAGGGTGGAAATTTTTACAATATTACAAATGCACTCAATTTTTTATACATTCCTCCAATCAAAATCAAACAACAAATACCAATGCTGACATGTAACAGAGAAAACTGGAATCTCAAATACGTATGTTAGATTTTAAATGGAAGTAGTATGTACTACTGATGTACCAAAGATGAGTTCCTCGAGGGTCTTTATTTTATTACTCACGCATGTATGTATTTTTCTTTTCTACTAGCTGTTAGTTTTCAGTTTCACAATAGGTCATTCAGTTCAATTTTCTGTTAGCTAATTGGTTACCTTAGTGCCACGTAGGCTTTGTTTTATGGCTTAGCTTTCAGCTCATTCTTTGTGTCAGTCTGTACTATCAGTACGTGACTTTACTTATAACTTAACACTTTTTTCCATTTACTCAATTCAATGAATATAGTTTATTCACTCTCGTTCCGTAAAATGGTATTAGAGCTCTTCGCGAAGCTTTGATATTTGTCGCTTCTTTTGTTTCGTTCTTTGTACTTGCTTGAATTCTTGAAGTTTTGACGTTCGTTTCTGCATATGCAATTCTTGAAATTGCTAAAAATGGCGAATCAGAGTTCCACTTCATTTCAAGAACATGTGACTAATCCTAACCGATCACTGTTGCTTATGCAAATCAAGGTGATTCTTCAAATTCGAATGGTGCATTTGACGCATCTGATCCATGAAGTCCCTATTTACTCCATCCTAATGAAAATTCATCCTTGGTGTTGGTTTCCTCTCTGATGAATGGTAAGAATTAACATGGTTGGGCTAGAGCTATGAAGATGGTTTTGGTGTCGAAAAATAAGTTTTCCTTCATAAATGAAGTCATCAAGGCTATAGATACATCTGATCCACGTTATTCAAACTGGGAAAGATGTAACACCATGGTGCTATCGTGGGTGCATTGTTCAATAACGGAGTCCATTTCTCAGTCGATCTTATGGACACGTCGTGTTTGTGATGAGTGGAACGATCTCAAGGAGGGGTTCTCACTTTAGAATTTCATATCTGAAGGATGATATTCATCATTTATATTAGGGGGATAGTGCTATTTGAGACTACTACACACAACTTATAATCTTGTGGGATGAGTTGGAAGCGCTGCAACCAACTCTAACTTGCAGATGTGTGCGTCCTTGCTGTAATGTTTCCTCTAAGGTGAAGAGTATTCATGAGAGAGACAATTCTATAAGGTTTCTCAAGGGACTTAGTGAACAATTTTTACATGTGAGATCACATATTATGTTGATGGATCTTTTTTCATCCATTAATCGAGTTTTTTTCCCTTGTCTTGCAACAACAAAAGCAACTGCATTTGGAAGGAGGTATTCCTAATCATGATGCTCCCAAAATTTTTTACAAGTCAGGGAAGAAGGTGTTCCTCTATTGCTCGTGGAAGAGGACATAGTTCCAATGGTGCATAAGAAAGATCAAATACCTCAAGGCTATGCACATATTGTGGCAAAAACTATCCATACGATAGAGACATATTTTGATGAACACGGATATCCCCCTGGCTACAAGCAAAGGAGTCTTATGCACAAGGCTAATGCAGTTGTATCTCAAGAAAAAGCTTCTAATTCTGTAGATCATGGAAGTGACATTGCAAAAGCTGATTCAAAGGACAATTACACAAAAGATCAGTATTAGACTATACTCGAGTTAATACAACAGTCAATACAACGGAGTTCATCTCATTCAAGAAATATAGTGCAGTCAAAGGCTCTCAATACAGAAGCAACAAATTATTCTTCAAGTAATAATGAAATTCTGTGGATCTTGGATACCAGAGCCACTGATCACATTACATATTTTTTTGCAAGTCTATCTTCCATTCAAAAGATTGAGCCTATTACTATTTCATTACCTAATGGAGAGCAGGTGACTTTTCTTTTCTTTCTGGAACCATTGTGTTTTCCAAGTCACTTAAGTTGACAAATTTGTTGTATGTTAAATAGTTTATGGTGAACCTGATATCAGTCAATAGACTAGTTTATGAGTCTAATTGCCATGTGATTTTTCAGCATCAGAAATGTACCATTCAGCAAATGCCTTCCATGGAGATTATTTGTTCTGCTAGATTACAAAAAAGCTTATACATACTTGCTGGACAGAATATTCGTGAAGGAAGAAGTTTGGTGACAACTCCTTTCAATAAAAGCTTTGCAGTACAAACAAATGCTACTGATATATAGCATTTGAGATTACGCCATTTCTTAAAATCTATAATAAAGTCCATGATAGCACGTCTTCCTTTCATTTCTTGTAATAACATAGATGACCTTTATGATGTATGTCTTTTGGCTAAGCAAAGGAAATTGCCCTTTAGTCTTAGTCTTACTGTTTCAAATGCAACTTTTGACTTAGTCCACAGTGATATATGGGACCTTATTCAATTCCTTATATCCACGGGCACTATTACCTTCTAACAATAGTTGATGACCACACACGCTTCACTTAGGGAATTTTCATGAAATTAAAATCTGAAATATGCAATCACAATCGTGCATTTATCACTCTTGTTGAAAACCAGTTTGGGACAACTATCAAAGCATTTCACAGTGATAACGAGCAAGAGTTTTTGATGAATGAATTTTTTGTTCAGAAAAGTATACTTCATCAGACCACCTGCATTGAGTCTCCCTAGTAAAATGGAACCATGGCAAGGAAACACCAATATATAATCAACATTGCAAAAGCACTTTTCAAAGTAAGCTTCCAAAGGGTATATGGTGCTACTATATTTCTCACGCCATTCACCAAATCAATAAGCTTAGTTCTCCATTACTGCATAACAAGTCTCTGTTTGAACTTCTTTACAATAAGCCACACGTTCTTATTCATTTGAGAATATTTGGCTATCTTACATATGCTTCCACAGTTATGGCTAGGTGTTCGAAGATTGATACTCTGCTAAGAAATATGTACATCTAGGCTACTAGGAAGGACTGAAAGGATATGTCTTTTATGACTTGTCATCTAAAGAAATCTTCTTGTCACGGAATGTGATCTTCCATGAACACCATTTCCCTTTTTCTTATGGGAAATTAGAAAGATATGGGCAATCTTGGCCTTTTGTTGTTGATTTCCCCATCTCATATGAAACACATGGTCACTATCAGCCTACAACTTCTCCAAATAACTCAACTGCTTCTTCTGCACCTGCTTCTCATTCATTATCAGACTCTTCTCAGCCAATCACCAGCTTAAACAATGACTCTTCTGCACCTGTTAACCAAAGACAATCATCCAGAATAAGGTCACGTCCAAAACATTTGAGTGACTTTCGTTGTAATCTATCGGCTGCCACCTCTCTTTATCCTATTTCATCCGTTGAATCATATCATAAGTGTTCTCCAACATATTCATCATTTTTCCATAACATCAGTTCATTTATTGAGCCATGGACATACAAACAAGCAACACAATCCACCGAAGGGGTCAATGCCAAGAATGAAGAGATTGAAGTCTTGAACTGTAACAAAACTTGGACCTTTGTGGACCTACAAAATGGTAAGCGCCCCATCGGTTCTAAGTGGGTGTTCAAGATAAAGTACAATCCAAATGACTCTATTGCTCGCTATAAAGTACGTCTAGTGGAAAATGGGTACAATCAAATGGAGAGTGTGGACTTTTTTGAGACCTTCTCCCCGATAGCCAAGTTGACGACCATCAGACTTCTCTTGGCCATAATTGTTGTATAAGGCTGGTTCCTGGAATAGCTTGACATCAGTGACACGTTCCTTCATAGGGACTTATCCGAGTAAGTCTACGTGTTAGTGCCCGAAGGTGTCTCAACTCCTTCTCCAAAGCAAGCATGCAAACTACATAAATCTCTCTATGGGCTTAAACAAGCCAACCGATAATGGAACGTTAGGCTGTAGAACTTGTGTCGTTGGGTTACTCACAATCTTCTGGTGCACAATGGTTCCTTTATAGCTTTACTTGTATACGTTGACGATATGGTACTTGCAGATGATGATATGAATGAGATCAAATCTGTGAAAAGCCATTTCGTCAAGCTATTTAGCATTAAGGACCTTGGGCCTTTGCATTTCTTCCTTGGGCTTGAAGTGGCTCGATCTCAGAGTGGGATTGTGCTCAATCAACGAAAATACGTTCTTAAGTTGCTTTCAGATAGTGGATTGCTTAGGGATGAGCCTATTTCCACTCCCGTTGAGCCCACTCTTCGCTTATGTCAAAACCAAGGGGAGCCCCACTTAGACCCTGCAGCATATCGTCGTCTCGTGGGTTGTCTTCTCTACCTCAAAAATACCAGACCCGACTTATCCTTCGCCGTACAACAATTGAGTTAGTTTATGACAAATCCTATGAAGGCTCACTTTGAAGCGGCTTGTCGTGTTTTACGATACCTCAAAGGGTCACCTGCAAAGGGTCTTTTATTTCTGTCAAAGAATGCCCTTAGTCTATTCAGGTTTGCTGATGCAGACTGGGCAACATGTCCTAATACACAATGTTCCACCACCGGATTTTGTGTTTTCCTCAGGTCATCTATTATCTTGTGGAAGTCTAAAAAGCAAAGCACAGCGAGTCAATCTTCAGCAAAAGGTGAGTATCGTGCTTTAGCCACAATCACTTGTGAGATTCAATGGCTCACCATCCTTCTCCATGACCTACGCATCTAGGTTTTTGGTCCTGCCATGGTGTACTATGACAATCAGGCGGCTATACATTTAGCACATGACCCCTCCTTTCATGAACGTAACAAGCATATCGAGCTTGATTGTCATGTCAACATGTGAGAAGATCGTGAAAGGCTTAATTCATCTGTTACCAGTTTCCTCAGCTTAGCAGCTTGCAAACGTCTTCACTAAGGAGCTCCATCCTGCTCTTTATCGATATTTCATGTCCAGGTTGGGTCTTTTTGACATCCACCTCCCAACTTGAGAGGGGGTGTTGAGGGTCTTTATTTTATTACTCACACATGTATTTTATCACGTGTATTTTTCTCTTTTGTTAGCTGTTAGTTTTCTGTTTCACAAGAGGTTATTCAGTTCAATTTTCTAATAGCTAATTGGTTATTTCAATGTCATGTAGGCTTCGTTTTAGAGCTTAGCTTTTAGCTCATTCTTTGTACAAGTTTGTACTATAAACACGTGACTTTACTTATAACTTTAACACTTTTAATTTGCCATTTACTCAATTCAACGAATACAGTTTATTCACTCTCATTCTGCAAGGAATTTTGTTTTTGGGCTACATTCATTTCTTCGTTTTTTAAAATCCAGCATATATTAGTTCGTGAACTTTATTTTAACATAGCTAACCCAATATGTTAGATAATATGTGTAAACCATTTATAACAACGAACTAGTGGAGTAATATTGTTTTATTTTTCATATAGCAAGTCAATTTAATTTTTTTTAGTAAGTGTAATAATTTTTAAATAACCATTCATTGATAAGTTCCCACAAAGTTAAAATAATTTGATTATGAATTTATGATAATAATTATTTTAGTAAAATATCAAAATTTTAAGATAATATAATACTGTATAATTAAATTATAATAAAAATATAAAACTAACAACGAATTAAAGTTAAATACAATCCAACTTTGCAATGCTTGCAGGAAAGTAAATCAACAGATGCAGCTTAAAAATTCGGCTAAAATTAAACATGTGCTAGGCGTGATCCAAATTAATTGTAACCTAATTAGCCCAATAGTTGGGCAATCTGTTTCAAAGCCCAAACTATAAGCAAAATCGGAAAGAAAAAATTCTTCCAGGGTCGATCTTGTGGTTCTTTTGAAGTGTAATCTATGTATCTATTATTATAGAGAAACGATCTGTATACAAATTTTTTTTACAAATTACACTAAGTAAGAACTGTCATATACTCTTGATTGAAGTATGACCAGTTATACTTAGTGTAGTTTGTAAAAATTTGTAAAAAAAAGTTTATAAATATAACCTTTCCCATTATTATATGGGATAATAACTTCTCAGTTAAACTTCTCCTGCACCCGAATCAAAATTGTGCCAAGATTTTTTTATTTTTTATTTTTTAAAAATGAGTGAGCCCCATAGGAATTGTCTCTACGGTGCCATTAAACATCACTTCTCCTATTGCAAGAGAAATATTTAAACACCACTTCTCCTATTGCAAGAGAAATATTTTCCCTTTATTATAATAGGGTTTAAAGTTTCACATGTTATAGAATTTTGTTTCCTAAACATACATAAAGTGTATGAAACCCATGTGAGGAGAAAAGAAAAAGATAAAAATTAAACTCCACAAATTTTTATATGTATATATATGTATATAGGAAATAATTTTATTTCTTATAACATAAAAAGCTTAAAACCCCTATATACAAGGGAGCTCGTCTATACCGTAAATTTTTTCGCTCATAGAATTTGTTCGTGATATTGATAATATTTGGTATTTGTGAGGTATCAGACCTTGATTGAAGAGAAAGAGAAACTCACACACGGTGTGAATGAAAATAATAAAGGAGAAAGGAAAGAGTGCTTCTTGAATACAGATTGATTGATTGAGATACAAGATGATGCTGCTATTTATAGCAGAAGGCATCAGTTGAGAAATAAAGGAAATAACAGAATAACTACTATAACAGAATAAACTACTTTAGCTATACATATCTATTATCCCCCCTCAAACTCAGTGGCAATGGATAGACTCTGAGTTTGCTTCTAAAAGTCAGAAAAGTGGCAGCGGAAATGGGCTTTGTAAAGAGGTCTGCAACCTGTTCAGTTCCAGGAATATGTTGAACAAAGACTTGTTTTTGTATAACACGATCCCTGACAAAATAGAGATCAAGTTCAAAGTGTTTAGTCCGATTGTGGAGAATAGGATTCTCAGCGAGCATTACAGCACTGGCGTTGTCACAAAAAACCGTTGGTAGAGCAGTACATGAGATGCGAAGTTCATGGAGTAGAGATTGCAGCCAAGTGATTTCTGCAAGTGTAGAGGCAAGACTTCGAAATTCTGCTTCAGTGCTAGACCTGGAGACAACATGTTGTTTCTTGCTGGACCAAGATATGAGATTTGAACCAAGATAGACACAGAAACCACTTGTTGACTTGCGATCATCAATATCGGACCCCCAATCTGAATCACAGAAGGCCATAAGCCGAAGGTCCTTAGATTTGTGGAATACAAGACCATGAGTTCTGGTTCCAGCCAAGTATCTTAAGATACGCTTAACAGCTTTCCAATGTATATCAAGAGGTGTATGCATGAACTGACTAACTTTATTAACAGCATAAGAGAGATCAGGGCGTGTAATGGTAGCATATTGCAATCCTCCAACAATAGATCGATAGAGGGTTGGATCAGCAAAGATATTGTCACCTTCCAAAGATAGTTTTTGACCCGTGAGCATTGGAGTAGGCATAGATTTGGCAGAAGTCATACTTGCCTTCTCCAAAAGATCAGTAATGTACTTAGTTTGGCTAAGATGAATAGTGGAAGGAGAAGTGTATACAGCTTCTAAGCCAAGAAAATAATGAAGCTGTCCTAGATCTTTAAGGGAAAAAATGCTGTTGAGTTGAGTGATAAGGGAGGAAATTTCTGAACTATTAGTGCCAGTAATCAAGATGTCATCGACATATACCAGGATATAAATGGTAGAGGTGGAGGTAAACCGTGTGAACAAAGATGCATCAGACTTGGTGCTATGAAAGCCAAACTGCTGTAAAGTAGTGTTGAGAGTATTGAACCAAGCACGAGGAGCTTGCTTAAGTCCATAAAGGGCTTTGTTTAATTTGCACACTAGTTGTGGATTATTGCTGGGAAAACCTTCGGGTTGAGTCATAAAAACGTCTTCAGTTAAAGTGCCACACAGAAAGGCATTGTTGAAGTCAAATTGTCGAATGATCCAGCCATTTGTAAGGGCAATGGAGAGAATGAGTCTGACAGTAGATGGCTTGATGACAGGGCTGAATACTTCACTAAAATCAAAACCTTCTCTTTGTTGAAAACCTTTGGCAACAAGCCGTGCTTTATACTTTTGGATTGTGCCATTTGGTTGTCTTTTGATGCGAAAAATCCATTTGCAGCCAATAGGCTTAATATTTGGTGGAGGAGGGACAAGAGTCCAAGTGTTATTTTTGAGGAGAGCCTGAAATTCTTCAGCCATTGCTTGTTTCCAATGAGGACATGTGAGAGCTTGAGACACCTTTTGTGGTTCTGAATTTAAAAAATCAGATGGTGCTTCATGTAATGTAGTGGCATATGTTTTTGGCTTGTGGATGCCAGACTTGCTTCTGGTTTGCATAGGATGAGAATTGGGTGGCGATGAATTCTGAGCAGTAATGAGAGAACCTGCAGACTGATCTTTATCAGTAATAGTGGTGTTAGCATTGGTAGATGAAGACTGGTGTGGAGATCTTGAAGAAGAACTAGGCAAAGCATTAGTAGTATCAGTTGATAGAATAAGAGGGAGACAAGAACTAGATGTATTTGGGACAGTAGGTAATTTGAGAGATTTAGCATGCTTGGAAATGCAAGGTATCGTAGGAGTGTAAGAAGGAAGAAAAGAAGGAGATGTATCAGATAAAGAAGTGTTGGAGAAAAGATCATTATAAGGGAAATTAGTTTCATCAAAGATAACATCTCGAGATATAAAAATTTTGCCCGAGGGAGAAAGGCATTTGTAGCCTTTTTGATTTGTAGAATATCCCAAAAACAGACACTTATGAGATCTAAAGTCAAGTTTGTGTTTATTAAAAGGCCTAAGTAAAGGAAAACAGGCACATCCAAAAACCTTCATAAAATGGTAATCTGGTTTATTATGATAAATCAGTTCATAAGGTGATTTAAAATCTGTAACAGGTGATGGTAAGCGATTGATAAGATGAGTAGCAGTGGAGAAGGCATCATCCCAAAATGATAAAGGGAGTTTTGCATTTGCCAAAAGTGCTAAGCCAACTTCTGTAATGTGTCTATGCTTCCTTTCAACTCTCCCATTCTGTTGATGAGAGTAGGGACATGTGAGCCTATGAGAGATGCCATTGGCTTGTAGAAATTGAGTAAAAGCATGAGAAAGATATTCTTTACCATTGTCAGTTTGGAGGGATTTGACTTTCAAGTTAGTAAGAGTTTCAATCATAGATTTGTATTGATGGAAAGCATGAAAGACCTGAGATTTATTATGCAGTAGATAAATGCAGCTATATCTAGTATAGGCATCCACAAATAACACATAGTACCTGCTTCCAGAAGTTCCAGAAATAGGTGCTGGTCCCCATACATCCGAAAAAATTAAATCTAAAGGTGCAGCATAATGAGTGGTGGATGGAAAATGAGGTAATTGATGAATTTTACCTAAGCAACAAGCTTCACAAACAGAAGCAGGCATAATTGTTTTATTATAAGAAGTAGGAAGATTACATTGTTTCAAAACAGTATTAACAACCTGATGGCTAGCATGGCCTAATCTCTTGTGCCAAATATCGAAAGGAACACATTTAGAATACAATGCAGTAGGATTATTAGGAGCAGAGAATTGTTTATTAACTAAGATATTCGAAAATTCATAGAGGCCATCTTTAAGCTTGCCTTTGAGGACAATATCCTTAGTGACCTGAGATTTGACAAGGCAATAGTCAGGAAAGAATTCAAAATAAACCTTGTTGTCTCTAGCAAATTGAGACACACTGATCAAATTCTTGGTTATGTGAAAAAGATTTTCAAGTTTAAAAGTAAAAGGAGATGCAGGTGAGGTTAATAAAGAATGTCCAACATGTTGAATAGGCATACCTGCACCATTACCAATATGAACCTGTTCGGAGCCATTATACTCAGAAGCAGAAGAGAGATTACCAATATCATTTGTGAGATGATGGGTTGTGCCAGAATCAGGATACCAAGAACTGTCTGTGAGTGAGGCAGGACCAGCTATATAAGCTTTAGGATTATGAAAGGAGGAAGGTGGAGGTGGAGGAGGATGTTGATTCTGGGAATTCAGATTGTTCTGGGAATTCAGGTTGTTCTGGGAATTCAAAGGTGAAGGTTGAAAATTTGAATCAAAACGATAGTAGCATTTGAGGGCTGGATGTCCTGCTCGTCCACAAATTTAACATTGTAAACGATTTTGA